GTGGGCAGGCTGAGGAAGAGCGTGGTCAACACCAGCACATCAGCGAGGGAGACTTTATTCCCAGGAGGGCGTTGTTCACGTTGCTTTCTTGCGGTTCTGTTTGTGAAGGACCAGGGGGTTGTCAGGGATGTCCCGTCTCGGCTGGAACTTCTTCCCAGACATTGCTTCGAAAATGTTGTTTTTAGTCTCGATAACAAATGCACTCGCCAAACGTGGCAGCACATGTCCTCAGTTTCCCCTCGGTAAGTGTAATTTTCTGAATGGCGTCTTGCAAGGAGCATTTAAATGGTGACCTCCTGCTGCTGTAAGGTGTGCGGGGAGCTGGGTCCCTTCCAGGCATTCAGGCTGCAGCGTTTGGTCTTTCCTGCTTTTACTGAAGAACTTTTGGGACCTCAGAAATGTGTGATTCGAGCTTTTGCCGCCTTAATAGATGAAAGGCGGCTGGAAGCATTAGGATGAACTTCCTTTGTACCAAATGCCCGTCATTTAAGTCAAACACGTTTTAACAATATAAGCAAGATTTTAAAAGGTGTAGCTAAAAACCCCACACTTGCCTGTCTTGCTCGCTCCTCGCTGCTCCGCCGCCTCACGGCGTAGCTTGATCCCGAGTACTCCTGCTGCAGGGAAGGCTTGAGCTCTCGACGTAGCAAACAGGTAGACTAAGCTAATTTATAGCTTAAGTCTTTTATTCCATCATAAAGTAGCAAAAATGAAGGCTTGTCTCTCTTGCGGGTCACCTCTAATAGCAATCGCTTCAGCAAGATGGATTTCAAAATTAGGTGCTCGCGAAGCAGAAGCCACGCTGTATTTTTCAAGAGCACAAAGCAGCTGTAAGAGCAATCTGACCTTCATTCTTAATAATAAATTCATTGGGGGGAAAAAAATCCATCTTTGTTTTTCTGCTTGAAGTACTGTCGAAAGAAAAGCCGGGGCACAACATATACGAAATAAAAACATAAGACAACTTCTGCAAAATGATACAAAACTCTTGGAGATTTACTTTTCTAATTTTTTTACGCAAACATCGGAAGAAAATGTGAGAGCTTGCCTACAAATACATTACTTTGGAATAAAGGATGGTGTTAATTTGAACCAAACGTATTCTAGACTAAATACCGTCTCGAGGTGTTTTTCAGATGTAGGGTGCACTCCAGTAGCAAAGGCTGGGGAAGAGTTTATTGCTAAACATCCACATTTAGGCACTGCATTGGACCAGCTCATTTGTAAAACGTCCCTTAATGTATTTCAGGGGCTAAAATAACGTCTATCGCAGCTTGCCAAAGCCAAATGTCACACACTGTTCTGTTCTTCCGAAGCAGCCCCAAAAAGGTGTGACCGGGAGTCTGTAGTCAGTACAGCGTGATGGTAAGCGAAAGAACGTAGCGAGGGACCCTTGCTTGAAAATACTTGGCATTTTACTGTTATTAGTACATTTGTGTCCTAAAAGCCTGTAGCTGGTCAGCTACTACTGGCAAAGCCTGGAAATGGTGAACACGAACCACCTCTTGTATTAAATACTATCTTTGTATCTTGCTGTGTCTCTGTTACCGACTCGGTATTGAATACCGTGTTATAACCCAGCACAGTGCATCAGCTTTATTTCTTTGATCAGGCATAGCTGGGAAGGCAGAACGGGAACGTTTATTCTAACCAGCAGGTTTCACCCTTAGGCCAGCAAGAATTAGGAAAGGTTTTTTCAAGCTCGGCTCGTCACCCACCTAGAGAGCCTAACGCTGCTGCTGCAGTGCACCCGGCCCCTCTCCTGGCGGAGTTACTCAAACCCATCTTCCCGCTTTCCAGCAAGCCTAAACCCAGCTATTACTCGGCCTTTTCTCCTTCACGCCGGGCTTGTTACACCAATAAAAGGCACTGTAAAGGGGGTCCGTGTCAGCAGTGCCTGCATCACCCTAATTGAGCTGCAGAAATCTTTTTGGCCGCTTGATACCTGTTACTTCAGGTTTCCAGGAGCCCCTCTGCCTGGACAGAAACGTTTGGTTAAATAAGCTCAGCTTTTTGCTAGAGCTGGCGCGATCATTGAAAGCGCGGCAGAAGGGATAAACGCTGTCTGTATGTTTAGTCAAACCTGTTTAAAATCACAGAGCAAACCTAGAAAGCGGGTGGCTGCAACCGCGGCTCCTTTCAGGACCAACTGAGATCAACAACCGTGAAATGGGTATGGCTTCATTTGGCATTCAAGATATCCTAACTACCACTTATTAACATTTGAGTTCTCTCCAAACCAAGCCCTGTTCTTGTTTAGAACGGGAGAAGCCTTTTTGCCTCTACACCAAGCATTCACATGAAGGTTAAAGCCCTAGGAGATGCTTTTGGTTTTCACAGCGACGCCAGTGCGGCCCAGGTCCCCTGCAGGGAACCGCTGCCCGATGGGTTGCCATCTCACCGCTCCCTGTCCCTCCACAGGCACCAACTTCCAACGATGACAGGGAGGCAGAGTCAAGGAAAAGCGTCAGCAACAACCGGCCTCGGATCAAGTAACCTTGTAGTAGTCAACTCTGACCATCGGTGCTGAGCATCGGGCGGTTTCAACCAAGAGGGTTGTTCAACTGCTGGAGCTCGGAGGGGACCGCAGCCAGGGAACGGGAAGGTCCTTCCCAGCAGCAACTCTCAGCAGCTCGTATTTTATTTTAGGACAATTAATCTACTTAACTACGGTATTCCCTCCCAAAATAGCGTTTTTTTTGTTTCAAAACAGTTTTCTAGACGACACAAGCGAAGACCTCAGTCCGATAGACGCGTGCAAGCTCAGCTGACTGACAGGCGCGTACCAACTGCTCACGACAAAATGGTGGCCGTGGCGGAGAGCTCTGGAGCCTCTGGTACACCTCCCAGCCACCACCAGCCTCCGCAGAGTCGTACCGCTGGTTCTTTTTTCTCAGAAAGTAGCATTTGTAACTATGGCATTACCTACCCTTTTCAGCCCTGAGCATGCTCTGTTTATCGATGTGCTAACCCCAAAGATAAAGGCAAAGGCCACGCCTGGCTGCTGGGTAAGCGCTTGCTACTCATCGGGCAAGATCAGCTGAATCCTCTAGGTTACTTCTGCCAACATCAAGCACCGAGAACAAAGGCGCAAGATTAGAGGGATCTCATTAAGCATGTTTGTTCCAAGAACAAGAAATGTCTCTACTTTCCTCTGATGACCTGGGGAAACAAAAAAGCCCTTCAGCACAGAAAATTTATTTGTAATCAGTTATGAGCATTTGCATGGGTAATATCCAGTTTAAGAAGAGAAAAAAAAAAAAATAAAATCTATCTGTCCTAAGCTTTCTCTATCATCGTTCTTCTGTTTGAAACAGAAAGCAGGGATGTCCATACCTGAAATCACCAACACACGCACACAAAATAAACCCTTCAGATATTAAGCGAGCCGTTTAACTAAGTATTTAAAACCTCTGCAATTATTAGTTTATTAGTATCATCCAGGATTCAGATGTTCAATATTTCTCCTGAAGTTATACATAAATGCAAATTGAAATAAGAATCTGAAAGTCAAAATTGTATAACAAAACAATACTCCATCACAAAAGCGTGTAAAATTACAAGAATGCTATTTTTTTTTTTTTTTTAAACACTGGCACTTAAGAGAACCATAATTTTGTAACCACAAAATTGCCAAATTGTCCCCCAAACTGGTAAGCAGGTATATGTGAAAATAGTTACAGTTGCCAGCACTTGAAGTTTTACTAAATATGCAAAAAAACCCTTAGCTTTGGTTTTGGAAGAGAACTATATTTGACCAAATTAGACATTGTTGGTATACCATAAACATTTCACTTTTTAATGCAAAATTTAATAAAATGTACTTTTCCATACAGCTATATTTAACTTAAAAATGGGCAAACATCAAGAGTGCGGTATAAAACCTAACAGGAAAAATACATCTTATCTCATTTTCAATTTGAGACAATATACAACTTTGTTTAAAGGGCTAAAACTAGAATTTCAAGAATACAAATATGAATTTACATAGATTTAACAAATAATAATGGTACCATTTATAGAAATCTTAGAAAGAAAAATCATTTCTCGTGGGCCATTTGCTACCAGGAGAGTTTCATGGTATAAAGCCCGTGGCCATCACCAGACCTGTCACCAAAAAATAATATGGTAATTTCATGCTTTTAACTTTACACATTTTAGGTACGCTCATCGCTTGCAAGTGTTCAGAGATTTACAAATACAACTTCCATTACATGGTAATGGAGTCACACCTGTAAATTTCTCCACACTGGATGGACGCACACTCTTCCTATGGGTCCTTCTAGGACAAAATTTAACGCTCCCTCCCTCCCCGCCCCCCCTCCCCCAAGTATTTCATTTCTGTAAAATTGAACTCTATACTTCTCAACTCTCCAAGACTGGTAAACTCATGCAACTCAATAGAATATTACATTTCACAAAAATCTGAACAAGTATCAGTTTGTTGAGATTGAATTTTTTGTTTTGTTTCCAGTTACGGAAGAATATTCTTTCATCATATGCCTATATATTTCTTTTCTTACCCTATCATGATTATGCAGGGTATGCAGATCAAAGTTTTGTTTATCAGCTGGTTATATGAAAGATGAAAACTGTAATATTCCCGTGATCCCAAACGGGCATTCAATAAAGCAAAAGATGAGTTCCCCTCAAAAAAAAAAAAAAAAAAAAAAAAAAAAGAAGGGAAAAAAAAAAAAAAAAAAAAAAAATTTTTTTCCTTTCTCTTAGTGTTACACAAGATTTCCCTCCCCCCCCCCCCCTCTTTTT